CGCTCCTCTCCCCCCCCCCCCCCGCCCACTCCCCACTGTGCTCCCTCCCCTGCACTAGTTTCTAAGCTTTGGATGATAGGGACAATTACTTTTTGTTGAGCTCAGAATTATGTGGTTGTTTTCTGCAGTGAGCATAGGTCTAACTTTTTGTTTATATTTTTAGGATTATGGGCTTGTACTGCTGAATGTAAAATCCTGGGCCATTCGGACCGCTGCTGGAGCCCATCCTGTGGTCGATCCAACCCTCACTCTTCTCCTCTTCTAAGCTTTGGATGATAGGGACAATTACTTTTTGTTGAGCTCAGAATTATGTGGTTGTTTTCTGCAGTGAGCATAGGTCTAACTTTTTGTTTATATTTTTAGGATTATGGGCTTGTACTGCTGAATGTAAAATCCTGGGCCATTCGGACCGCTGCTGGAGCCCATCCTGTGGTCGATCCAACCCTCACTCTTCTCCTCATCCTTCAGCTCAGCTGTCCACCTTCTGCAAAAGCACCTCCTTGCCCAGGGACCCCCTTCATAGGGACAACTACTACCAGGCCCAGCTGCCCAAGACAGTGGGACTGCAGAGTGTCTACGAGAAAGTGTTACACAGAGACTTTGACAGGACAGTCACATTGTTATCCCCTTCTCGCCCTGGGAGGCTTCCAGACCTTCAGGAGATTGGGGTGCCCCTATACCAAGCTCCTTCAACTAGATACCTGGCCCCCCAGACTGACACCACTGAGAAGGTTTAATGCAGCACGCTCCCCATCCAAACACACACATACACCTACACTACCAGGTCACTCTCAAGAGCCCTTAAGTTATTGACCAGATTCAGTGTTGTAGATATAAATATGCAAGATGTGCCTTAAAAATGAAGTTGTTGGGAAAGATTTCCAATCACGTCAGTACTGTTTGGTATTTGCAAACAAAAAATTGTTTGTAGTTAATGTAATTTTTATGAAATGTGCAGTATTTAATTTTTTTCCCTATCCCTGTTCTTTTGCTTTTAGTTCACCTCTGGCCTGTTATTTTTGTAGTGTTTTTAACCTGTATATTGTGTAATGTAATGTTTGTATATAAGGAAAATTTGTTATATTTTTATATAAGAAAAGCTAAAAATAAAATTATTGCCAAAGGACTTGTCTGAAAGACACAAAAAAATAATATCCTGAATACTTTAGAATCAAGTAAGGGAAATTCCTCCTTCAAAGTGTAATAAATAACCTAAGCAACCCAGTGTATTGAGAAGTTTGCCTTGCCAAGTGTGACTTGTATTTCTTAAGTCTGTGGTCAATTTCAAGTTAAATGTTATTTAATTCCATTTGGTTTCTGTAATCCATGTCACCAATAAACACACTAATAAAGGTTTTGTGATGTGTTTAAGGGGTTTGCTTGTGGATTTCATCCTTCAAAGATTACAGCCCTCTACATGTATACAAAATCTACATCTGGCCCACCAAGCAGGTTGATCCAGCTGTGGACACCCTGCCACTCCCCCACCCTCAGGCCAATCAGGGACTGGGGACTAGGGAGCATGTGAAGTCTCCTCATTCCCTCCCTCTCCTTGGTGTGCAGCACTTAGAGTAAACCACCAGCTGTTCAGCTGGCAGTTCACGCTAAGCGCCACCTGCCCCTTGCAGGGCGGAGGCAGGGACCGAGAGACTTCACACACTCCCCCGCCCCAGGTCCTGATTGGCTTAGGAGCTGGGGAGACCACGTGAAGTCTCTTTCCACCCTCCAAGGGATGTGAGTTGCCAGCTGTTCGGAATAGCTAGTGGTTCTCTCTGGAGGGAGCAGGGGCAAAGACTTCATGTGCTCCCTCACCCCCAGGCCAATCAGAGTCTGTGGAGGAGGAAGCATGGAACTGTTCTGGCCCTGCCCATTCCGCCTGAGGCTCCGCGCCTTCCATGGCAGCCTGGGGCCACTTCAAAAATGTGTAAAGTGGTTCGCCTTTCTAAAATTATTGCCCATTCCTGCCTTACTCCATATTTAGCCCCATTGATTACAGTAGCACCACTGGTGGACAAAGATGCTATTCAGTAAGACCAAGAAAGGTAGAATCTGGTGGTAACTTAATGTTTGTACAATCTGTGTCATCTCAATGGTTGACAGCCAGACCCTTAGCGATGTAAATCAAGTTACACGTTGTACCTCCCTGATCTGGCACCCTCGGGACCTGATCAGTCCCAGACAAAGGAGTTTGCCAAGCTAGGGGAGGTCAGACCCCCAGGCTTGGAGGAGAGGGGGACAGGGCACCAGTCTCTCTCCCCCCCCATCCCCCGTGCTTCCCTCCCTAACCATCAATCTCTGCTGCACCCAGCCATCCTGGTCCTGGCTCCACTACCTCTGGCATTGCCCATCCCAGCTCTGCTGCTCCGCCAGCTCTGCAGCCCCATGAGCTCCACAGATTCTACTGGCCCTGCAAGCTTCACAGCCCTACTGGCCCCCCCAGCCCAGCTCTGCTCCCAGCAACCTCTGCCACTGGAGCTCTCTGGTCCTGCAACATCAGTGGTCCAATGTTGCTTGGTCAGAGAGTCCTGGACCAGAGAGGTTCACCCTGTAGTTCCATTGAACTCAGTGGAGCCATGCTGCTTTCCAGCAGTTGAAGTCATCCTTGTCTAAAAATGGCTTAGGATTTGAGCGTGCAAACACTTACACACAAAACTAATTTTACTCACGTGTGTAACTCCACTGAATCATTGGGCTTACTCATCTGAGTACACTCCTGTGTGCGTGTAGGCTTGGATCATTTTTACAGAGCATTATTGTGAATACACTAGATTTAGAACGCAAGACAGCCCACCATATTTGTGTGGTAATATATCAAAATATATATGTAATAAAACTTTTTTTCAAGAAAAAGGAAAGTTGTATTTCACTTTGAATATTCCCTGCCTGCCATGATTTGCATTCTCAAATTAACAAATGTTCTTGAATCTTAAATGGAATGACATTTAAGAAATACCAGGGGTGCAGAATAAGCTTGCTTTATTTCCCCTACCCAGTTGTTCAAAATGACTGAATAACCTTTAATACCAATGTTAAATTTGCCAAGGACTCTGTTGCATACTCTGAGATAAGTTATAAATGTACACACATTTTGCATCAAATAGCAACATTTTGTTTTAGAACATTTAGAAAAGGCAATGCATATTGGTTTCAGTTGGAGTTCTTCTGTTCTAAAGCATAATATTAAAGACTCTAGTCATAATCTCACACAGAAAACTTAATGGCCTTTCAGTTAAAAATACGAAACTGTATGTCCCATGAACACAAAGGAGAAGTCATACTGTCATCAGTGTTCCTTCTCAGACTCACACAGTTCCTTTCCAGTCCCATAATGTACGTCTCTACACCAGCATGCAAAACAATGTGTTATATACTTACCATATAAACCTATTTGTGTGTTTTGAGAGTTAATACAGGTTTCATTCATTACTAGGTATGTAGATTTAATACATGACATTGCCTGTGATTTTGTAGCATTGGCTGTGACGTAAGTGAGGTGCGGAATTACAAATGCTAATGAAGAGGTTTCGCTTTAAGGCAAGGGGTGGGCTTGTTTTCAATGCTGTCATCACGGATTTCTACCCAGGGGACTAAAAGCCACTTGTGAGATGTGTGTTAAGTACAGGGGGCATGTGGCTAGAGGCAGAGGGGGCACAGCCACCACCCCCAAAATCTCTCTTCTGTCATTTTCTGAGCCACCCACCACCAGCAGGCATGCCCAGCTCAGCAGTCAAACCTCACCTTCTTCCTGGCCCTGGAACCACAAGGTGCAGGATGAAACACCATGGGGAGTAGGGGCCCCACCTACATGGAAGATGATGTATAGGAAGGGGGCATCCTGAGGTGATTTGAGGGCAGAAGTGGGGATCCTAGGGAAGAGGAGAATCCTGAGGTGATAGGGGGAGAAAAAGATCCCAGATGAGGGATGTACGAAATTGTTACTCACCTCGTGCAGTAACATCTGTTCTTCGAGATGTGTCCCCCCGTGGGTGCTCCACTATAGGTATCGGGCTCGTCCCAGCACCACAATCCGGAAAGTTTTCGCCAGCAGTAGCCCTCTCCAGAGGACTGCGCGTGCACAGAGGTGTCTCGCACCGTTCGCGCCTTTTCTGTATCACGCGGTCCGATGAGCCAGTTCCTCCTAGCCGGAACATCTGAAACAGAAAAAGACAAGAGCTCCGAAGCAGGGAGGAGGGCAGGTCGTGGAGCACCCACGGGGACACACATCTCGAAGAACAGATGTTACTGCACAAGGTGAGTAACAATTTCTTCTTCTTCCAGTGATGTCCCCATGGGTGCTCCACTATAGGTGAGTATGAAGCAGTAATCCAAACGGCTGATCATGCTTCGGAATTATCTGTGCACAGAGGAAAGGACTGCTTGAGGGACTGCTAAGTCCGTAGCTCTGAGACAATCAAGGGCATAATGCCTAGCAAACGTGGATGACGATGACCAGGTTGCCACGCGGCACATGTCTCGTAGCTGGACGTTCTTCAGGAATGCTGTGGAAGTAGCCATGCTCCTGGTCGAATGTGCCATTAGTGCACAGGGCAGAGGCCTGCCCTTAAGGGTGTAGCAGCGAGTGATGCTGTTAACGATATGCGATGATATACGTTATGACGACAGTTGCTGACCTTTAGAACGGGTCACCACTGATAATAGTAATCCTGGGGACTTCCTGGGGACTTCAGCTCTCGGTGCGGGATCGGTCATCAGTGCCGACTCCGCCCTGGACGTCTGGTCAAGTCCCGTATGTGGCAACGGTGCCGGGTGCATCGGTGCCGAGGACCACACCGTCTCTAGCTGCGGTGCCATGTGGAGATTCGGTGCCGCAGATGATGGTGCCAATTCCGGAGGGGGGAAAGGGCCAAAAAGGGGAATGGGGCAGTGCAGGGCCTCCACAAGTGATACTGTGGCAGACTCCTCCAAGTCTGTGAGCAATGAGAGTCAGTGGGTCAGAGCTGAGCCCAGCCTCACAGGACAGGAGGAGAACACTGCAGTTAGTGTGGGCAGTGGCCCAGCAGCTGTGGCCACATGGGGTCCCCTAGAAAAAAATCTGACACCAGTAGTGGATGCCCAGTCCCCCAGCCACCAGGCAGAAGGGGGGGAAGCCCCTATGTCCTGACCCCACTCCACAGCAGGAACACTGGGCGTGGGAAGCTCCTCCCTCTTCAGTGGACCCTGACCTCATTCCTGGCAGTAGCCATGGAGTGAGGGAAGCCCCTGCCTTCCTCAGAAGCCCCTTCCATCCCCAGAAGCAGCCACAGAGTGGGAGAAGCCCCACCCCACTCCAGTGGACCCTGCCACTATCCAGGCATCCAGTTTTTGAGCAGGGGTCCCGATGGCTCCAGTGGGCACTGCCTGCCAGGCTGTTAGAAGTCTGCTCATCAGTGCAGCGGGGGTTTGGGGCTAAGGCTCCTGGCTCCATTCAGATCCTGGAAGCTGCTAGCAGCTCCTGTGGCTGTTAGGGACAAAGAGGCACTAAACACTGCCCTCATCCCTCGTGCCAGCACTGCAGCTCCCATTGGCTGAGAATCATAACCAATGGGAGCTGCAGGGGCAGCACCTGTAGACAGAAGGGCAGCAAGTGGAGCTCCCTACCCTTCTACCTAGAGGCTGCAGGATCCTGGGAGGCACTTCCTGGGATCACTGTAAGCTCTGCGGGAACCCTGCACCTTCTCATCAGTCACAGCCCAGAGCCACTTCCTGCACTCCAAACCTCTCATCCCAAGCCCTCACCCCCCCCCCCCCCCCCCACTCCAACCCTCTGCCCCAATCTGGTGAAAGTGAGTGAGGGTGGGGGAAAGCAGTCCCCACTGCAGCCCATGGGCCATGGCGCAGAGACATAGCTGCTCCAGTCTTGGGGCTGCAGGAGGGCGGGAAGGCATTGCAGGATTACAATGGGGGAGTAGGATTGGGAAGTCCTGTGGGAAGAGGCAGAAAGGGGTGAGGTTGTGGGCAAGGCTGCAGGCTGAAGGGGTAGAACAGTTGTGGGTCTACAGGCAGAAGGGGTGGGGAGGGCTCCCCCCTCTTGTTCTGTCCAGGCCCCAGGAAACCTTACTCCACTTCTGAGTGTGGGCAAAGCTTGCAATGAATATCATTACCAGTGAGTAAAATAGCATCTTTGTAAAGCAGATTCGAAACAGACCATTAATTCATAGCAAGATCAGGGAGGCTTGTAGAGCATTTTCCACCAAGCAAGCTCTGAATAATAACTGCCTTTAGAAGCACTCTTTATGAAACCCATCTCCTTTATATGGGCGGTTCTAGGTGGCATACATGTAGGATGTGATATATTTTAGAATATAGGTTTGCAGTCCCATATAAGGACAGAGCCAATGCTCGTAAACTGTGAC